CTTTTCGATTTACATGGTACGCTTTGGTTGTGTTTAAAAAAATGTAAACAATAAAGCCGACAATATTGCGCTATAACCAAGAATAAAAACAAACGATATGTATTCATTTTATAGCGAAATGATATATATCTATTTACAAACCTCTTCCTTCATTAGGAAATCCAGAGTGTCTGTCTTTGGGGCAACACTGTGATCTTTAGCTGCATACCCTTCTTCTATAATAATGCAATGAAAATGAGTGAACTGGTAACAAAGGACATTACAAAGACAAAGATGAAAAACTACGATCAAGACATTCAACGATATTTTATTTAATTAGATACTTTTTATTTGAGTGCTATTATTTCTTAAAAAAAAAAAAAAAAAAAGAACGAAAATGACCCGAAAATATGCAATGCCAGATTGGACAGGGCAGTTGAAAAGCTGATGATTTTTAAATAAAAGAAACATGACATTTGTACGGACCTTCCATTTGACCAAGTTTTTCCCTTATCTGGTCTATCTCGACTTCCAGACGTTTCAGGCGGGCGCTTTCAGCCTGGAATAAGAACCAAACTTTTTTAAAATTTATTAGGAAACGGATTTATGCGGTCAACAGACAATCCATTTTAACTGACGGAGATATTTGGCGACTACATATATATGGTACACGTGTACAAGTTGCCGAAATATCAGAACAATTTAAATGAACAAAAATGAATGGCTGATTAATGGACCTAAAACAAACAAAAAATGGAACCATTTATTATAAACGAATCTTTCACCTTTTCATCGTCTTGGGCAGCTTTGGTATCGTTCTTATCCCCTCCTCCAGGAGTATCCGCATCTAAAATGTTACATCATTTTTATAAATTAATTAGTATAGGAAATTGGATATATAACTGAAAAATTAATTATGATATGCAGAATAATACAGTGTTTGTAAGGGTAAATATCAACATAGAATAATCGATTGTAAAAATATATATTAATCAAGACTTATAAAAAGATCAATGCATGGCAGCGACAGATCAACAACTCAGCACATAAACAACTGGATGTATCATTAAACACAAAACATAACCCCGCGTCACAAATTCATCTGCTTCTTTATCAATACTTACCTCCAGTAATCTTGATCACGATAGGCCCGACTTCTTCATATGGCTTGCTCAGTTCCGTCATCGCATCATCAGGTGGCTAAATAATGAATTAAAATTCAAACCACACAATGCAAAACCATGTAAGCAATTTAAAATAAATCTAATCGTAAAGAAAGAAATATCCTCCGTTGGAGGAGTAGACCAAAGTCCTGTTTTTTTTTTTTTTTTTGTATTATTGTTAAAGCTGGACGCAGTGCGCACAAGAAATGATTGGCGTACCTGTATATTAAATGGAAATCTACCGTATTATAAAAACAGAATGTCCTTACCTTAGCCTCCAGAAGTCCATTGAGCCTGTCAATTTCGTCATGTTGACGAGATATAGTCAACATGAGCCCAGTAACACGATTCACCATTGCTTCTTTCTCCCACTTCAGCAGCTTTTTATCCTCTTTCTCGCGTCTAAACTCCCTCTCCAATTGGGCCATTCTCCTTTCAAGAGTGGCTGTCCTTTCAGTGTTAATCTCTCGTTCGCTGCCCAAGAAATCTAAGAGAAAAAGATTTTACAGTCAATTTGCACAGCAGAAAAACAGAACGGCAAGTTTTTAACTTGACTTCATAAAAAGAACGATATATGAAATCACTGACGATAGAAAATCACTGCTTGGATTATATAAATCGCTGTCTATATAAGTAGCATACATTGACCTTTTCCATAATCTTACAACACTTTCATCAAAAGTTTTTTCCCCTTATTTCAGTTCTATTGCCGGTTTGTTATTAATCCATAAATAAGATAATTCATGAGCGAAATATAAACCTTTTTAAAATTACCTACCGATACGTTTCTCCAAATCTGCTATTTTTGAAGTGGTTTCTTCAGTATGTGTATCTGCAAAACTGATTGCCTCCTTGGTGTTCTGGAGAGCGCTTTTGTTCGTGTTCACTTTATTCAACACTTCGTCCATCTGGCATTTCAATACCATTAGGTGGTGATTAATCTTTGCACGTTCTAGTTCATTCGAAACCTCGATCGCTCTTTTCTTCCGAATTTTAAATAGACCTAAAAAAAGAACGCGAGAACGTGATTTTTTCAAATCGTAATATTAGGACACAAATGGCAAATTGTGGCAGTCTAACATTGAATTTCAACTCCTCAGAATTAATTTGACTGTTTATCTAATATGATATTTATGATAATATGCACCAACTACCCCATTATTACTACATGTACCCCCGAATCCGCCAGTTTTTGACATGCTTATGTAAATGCCCGAATGCGTCGATTTCTTTTTGAGCCCACCTTGCCTTGGTTTATGATATAAAGACTGTATTCGAGGACAAGATTTTTTCTCTCCAAGCTCTCCGAAATAATTTAGTATATAGGCCTACATTGAATTAGTTATGCCTTTGGGAAAGTAATGAAAAATGGATTGGAGTATTTTACTCAAAACCATTAAACATGGTATTTAGATATTCGTATGTGCACACCATTCGAATAATTTTCTATCTTTTTTGTCAGTCCACGTTTGATGTTTTTTTACCCGAAAAAGTCCCATTGGACAGCATTTGTCATACCCGACCCGTTAAGTTCTTTTTTATATAACTGAATAATTCACGTGTATATATTGCATTTTGTAAAATGTCTTTTGCAATGTGTTGTGCCCTGGAATTTAAGAGATTTGACAAGCAAATGAGTAAGAAACCATTTTATGGTAGGCCTGTCGATATTGCAATATATTCTTCACCTTCCTCGATTATATTCAATTATACAATTATACGAAAATTAAGGTTTAGCAAATCAAATTGTATTTAAAACAAATATGGAAAATAAAGGAGTAATAAATTTCATCATGCTTCATATAATTTCGTATCTTACATTGAAAATATATTGGTAAAAGAGAGCCCAAAAAATTACTCACCCATTGTCACGCATTCGGAAATTCTAAATTACCTTGGTAACGTGGTGATTATGCATATATCAAGACAAGCCACGTTCATTATGGCGTCACGGTTTCTCACTGCGCGTCATCTTGGTCTTTATTGAAATGGCGGCTTCGATTACCACATCAAAATTAAAAGAGCGTTGTTTTAATGTACGACTGGTGATTTTTAGGTTATTATTGTTTTGTTATTTCTGCTGAAATGTGACAGTAATGTGGATGTCAGTTTTTACCCATGAAATTTTATATACGAATTTCATAACACTTTTTATCATTCTGTAAACAATTTCATTTGACAAAAGAAAACTTTAAATCACTTCTGAAATGAGTAAAAATAAATAAAAAAGGTTAAGAGAGAGTAAACGATTTTTTGTGTTATGGAATAAAACGATGAATAAAAGCCAGTTGTAGAATGTTCAGAATCTATTCAATGGCCACAGAATAAATGCACTGAGAAAAATTAAAATGTAATGACCATTAATTCTAGAAAAAAAAAGAAAAGAAAGTAAAATGGATGAAAAAAAAAGAAAAAGAAAAAAGAAAGAAAAATTCAAATGTAATCAATCAACGAACTACAAAATGTCCGCTTTCTTAACGTTGTCAAGTCCTTATCATCATGCCTACTAGTCCTGTGGCTTAAGGAAAAAATCGTGACACGGCGGATAAAAGCACCAAATTTGGCATGTAGTAACCTTTTGACATTCTTAATCAAATTAGAGCCGTAGCCCTCTCAAACAATTTACCGTATATATATATCCTGCTACTAGTAGATCAACGGCGGAATTAGGGAGGTGTCAGGGTGATCCAGACTGCCCCCTTCGATTTCTGAAAAAAATCACACCAATGGTCCCCTCTTGAAATTAGTTTTTTGACAAGCTGAATCATAGTTCCAAATCGTGCCAAATGTCACCGTTTGCCATCTAAAATATCATTTTTTCGGGACCCTTCATCGGGGCCCCACCCCCACGCCAAGGGCGTTGGGGGGGAGAGTCGGCTTTGCATCCGCGGACCCCTCTTTAAATAATCCTTGATCCGCCCCTGGTAGATGCCATTAAAATTACTAAAGAAATGTGTTCATGTTAGACTTAATAAACGCTTAAAATAAATCAGTGCGCTGTCTCCCCCCCCCCTCTTCCGCCCCGAGGCAAAAGCCCGCCAAACGGATGACGTTTACTCATTTGCATAACAAGTATGGCGGTAAACGAAGAACAAATGGAGGAGAAAGCGAAGCGAGATGCTATCTAAATCTCGGAAAAAAAGAGAAAGAGTGACAGTTGAAGTGGAGGGTATTTCAAACTATGGCTGATATATTTTGAAGAAGCGATAGGGAGGTGGAGGGAAGTGGTACACAAGATAAAAAAAAGCCAAGATGGACGAGACGGTGATCGTGCAGCTTCCAAGTACTGGGGGTTGATGGGTAAGTCGTTTTTCCCGCTTTGAATGTTGATGTGGTTTAATAATCAAGGGGTTTACTTGAATGGTTTGAGTGCATAATAGGAACATTATTGCCATCATAATACAATGAAGTGATTATGAATTCATCTACCAGCACTAGGGCTATCTACCACAGTCAATAGCGGGGGCAGACTACATGTCATAGAATCTGATCTAGTTCCAGACAGCATTCAACAAGGTGTCCTGTCAAATCTTAGTGGTGGGAAAGTTAACTTACTTTTAAATTGTCTGTAGTGCATCTGTATCCATTCACACGCGCGCGCGCGCACACACACACACACACACACACACGAAATACTGGGTATACCTATAGTAGTGTTTTCATTTTACTTCAATGGGTTATTGCTGAATTGAAAATTTGATTACCTTGGATCAACTTGGAAAAAAGTGGATGAAGTCTTGGTTTGTTTTCACTGAAATAAGTCAAGCTCTTTGCATTCATCAATATCCTCAGGAATTTTTTGCTCAAGAATAGATATATTCCCACACATTCATAATATTTTTATTTTTAAAATGGGGATGATCCATTAATCATTGATAATTCAACAAAAATCATCCTCTTACACAAGAAAATCTAGAACCTAGGGTAGATATGGCTCTACTGTCACCCAGTGCTCAGCATTACTAGTTCTCACCCACACGCAACCAGAATATCTCAACTAACACATTTTCATTCTGTATATGTCTATACATATACCACCAGCTTCAGTAGCTGTGCATGTTTAACCATGTCACTGGTAGCTGTTTAAAATTGGACTTGCAAAGGCAAAAAAAAGTGTGTAAAGTGCGTTATTCACCATGGATATATATGAGAATGACAAAGGCAGTTCACTCCAGTTGACAAAGTGACTTAATTTTAAGTGAGTTTTAACTTTATACCTCTGTTTTGCCTGTGTGGAAGGATGACTGGGAAATAGTTACCTCCGCCAAGGAGGTTATGTTTTCACCCCTGTTTGTTTGTTTGTTTGTTTGTTTGTCATCAACATAACTCAGAAAGTTACGGACGGATTTTGATGAAATTTTCAGGAACTGTCAGAAGTGGGCCAAGGAACAGATGATTAGTTTTGGTGGTGATCAATAATCAATCAGACAGTAATAAAAATATTGCAAAACAGCATTGGATGGAGACTTTGCTGTCTTGGCAGAAGTCTGCACTCTCTGAGTCAGGGCTAGACACTAACTTTTATGAGCACCTGTCCTTCGGACAGGTGGTCACAAATTTGACCTGTCCGATTTTCAAACCAACCTGTCCAACAAAACCAATATTTTTTTTTCTATTCATACCCAGAACTTTGTAAATTAATATGTGTAGTCATACATTTAATGTATTTATTACCAAAATACTCAATCAAATGAGCTGGGAAAATGCACCTTAAAGTGAATTTATTTTCAGGTAAAAAGTTGTTTTTTCATACTTGTGAACTCCTGAAGATTAAATCTTGCATATA